TTAATTTTTTATTAGTTTTAGTTAGGAAAATGATTTTTCTGCTCCAGTGATTGCTGTCATTATATAAGAAAAATAATGCAAGCTCTTGAAACGTCACTTCGGTATATATCATTCGAAAATCATTTCGACGGGTCGAAGTACCTACCTAGTTTACGAAAACACAATGTGGTGTTCATACAACAACAATAAAAAAAACTATAGTTATTATTATTATTATTTTAAATTCTGAGCCGAGCGATGAATGGATTGATTTTATAATAATATGTGTGCGTGTTTTCTTAAATTCATTTTTCTTCTTTTATCTGCACATTTTGTGGCAGAAATAAATTGTTCTATAACGTGGTATGGAGGAAAACATTACCGACAAATAATGACGAGTGATGACAATATAGAATAATGTTATTGTGGCCATGTCTGAGAATTTATGTTATATACCTAGCAAATGCATTACACTTTCCACTAGGTACCTACTACCTACTCGATAAAGGTCGAACCACTTACTGTGCGGTTATGCCTATAATTATATTATTGTACAACTGTCAAAACACTCATACCTTGGAAATCCAAGTACAGTAATAGATACCTGTTACAAGATTTGTTCAGGTTAGAATATTACAACTCAAGTCAATATTTTATTATATTGTAAAAATTGACTTACACACTCGACAATACGAAAAAAGCAACAATAGTTTTTTGTGTTCACAATTTTTTTTTTAATTATCGAACAAAAACAATATGACATTTTTTAATTTTGAATATAATTTCAAAAACGGAAACAATTTTGGAAACGGCGGTTGCCGTTATATTATACAATTTTGTATGTTCAAAAAAAAGTTAGAACAAAAAAGAAAAAGCCGAAATTTGTAAAGTGAATATTATTCGAGATAAGTAAAGAAAATTTAAATACAAAAAAAAAAAAGGCATCGGACAAGACGAAGCGATGTGGGGGGGGGTACGTGATGGCCAGTTGGTGGTGCTGATGATGTATTGGTAACTGGTATATGGCCACTGGTCACCTCTACAACGTTCTCACGGGCTGTCCTGCGGGGCGGACGAGAGTCGCGGGCGAGTTTGCTCGAGACCGCTAAGACGACCATGGCAGCGGACGAAGCCCGGCCACGACGGCTGCGAGAGCGACGACGGTTGGCGACGAGAGGCTAGTGCGCGATGTCGTGCGCTGCTTGACGGTACTGCGGGTGCTGAAGACGACTGCTTGTGCCGGCAACGACGGTGACCTGCAAAGCTCGGAAAGGCGAGCTGGCGACTACGATCTCGGTGCAGCTGCGGAATCGGCGGCGTTGCGACTCGGGATCGGACCACTGGGCGAAAAGGGGAGAGAATCTGCAGACAGCTTCGCGACGCGCCGCTGTCCTGATAGTCTCCTTGATTTTCGCCCTGGCGTCTCCGTCTGCCGCAGCCGATGGCCACGGAGCCGAGCGCACCGCCGAACCCGACGAAACGTTTCGTTTCCTCGAGCCCAGCGCTGCTGACGTCCGTGGCGTTCCTAGCTACCCTGTAATCATAGTCATCCGTCACTCACCCGCCGTGAGCTCTGAGGTGTCCGTCGCCGCCGTCACGCGAGTCACGCAGCACTGCAGCGTTCGTCACTGAGCAGGTACCGTCGGGGACGGCGTCGTTGTCCGCGCCGGTACCGCTAACCTCCGTCGTCGTGTCGTCGTCGCTCCCGGACCGAAGCAGCCGGGCGTCCGCCGCGCCGCCAGAGGGTCTCGCGTGTCTCGGCGACCTCGAGCTCGCAACGTCCGCGATCCCGTCGCGCTACCGCAGGATGGCCGGAGAACGCGTATCGGCGACTTACCGCCGGTCACCACCTGAATGTGCACTGCCGCGTACCTATTACCTCGAAACCCCACACGTCGCCTCGCCTTGTCCGCTGCCCTCGGCCAGGGGGGAAACTTTTGGACGGTTTCACTTCGGGGGACAACAACAGCGCAACACGCGTGCGGCTCTCGTCAGGCCTCTCCACGCAGAGGACACCAATCTCGCCGTTGCACTGCGCGTGTTTCTGTCTTGACCCCCGGGTCCAGCCAACAAATCAAGATCCCAATACTGTTTCTGACTTCCAGTCCTCTGGCCGGTGTGGCGCCCACCGCCTCGCCACCCAGCTCCTTTTCCGCGGCTTCCTGCACCGGAGGCGCGACCACTACGACGTCGTCAACGATCGGTTCAACCGGTTCTGCCGTTTCGCCAGATTTGTCGACCGGTTGAAAGACGCGGTTGAACGGCACGTAGTCGTCCCCCGCGAAGCGCGTCGCATACGATAAAAGTCCTTCCAGGTCACCGATAATAGGTTCCTGGTCGATGTCGTCGATTCGTTTAAGTTCTTCTTCCATAATCTCGTACTCGACGTTGCTTATTATCTTTCCCAGGATTTGCATGATGGTTGTTTCCATTTCCAATTCTTCGTTATGCGATGCAGCCATTTTTTTTCGTTCAGGTTTTTTTTTTTTGTCCGCGTAAGGTGTCAGATTATACTCAGATGAGTTGCAAATGTGCCGATTTCGGTATTTATTCCTGGGCCGTCGACGATGATTTAAAACAAACATCGTTTATTAGTAGCCAGCACATTATTATATTAATCGACCGGCATCAGCTGGATTTCGGGCCCGTTAATTTTTCCAAATGCCATTATTACGACTATTATTGGTATACCGACTCTAACTGTATATACTAACGCAGAGGTACACTGTAATAATTGTATTATAATATTTTAACGATGATTTATAATATGTCGATCTGCATTATATTATTATACTGTCGTATATATACTCGCTTTATACTTTTGTAGCCACCCTGATACTATCATAGATATATAATAGTACACTTTAGAAGTTTCAAGTAGGTACCCACGAATAATATTATATAATCACAACAAAATAACTAGGTTTTTTAATATATAATTTTGTCCAAATTTGAACATAAAATGACTATAAAATAAACTGTGATTGTATATTTTTTAGATTTTTTGGTAAAAGAATTAACTACTTACGTGGAATCTTGTTTTAAATTTTCAATCCTTAGCTATAAAAACTGAACATTTTATAATTTATTAATTACCTACGATGATTAATAATTTTCGAGATTTTGAAAAATTCTGTCAAAATTCGATGTTTAAATGCTTATAAAAAATTTTAGTATTTATAATATTTTTCAACTGATATTATAACAATATATCAGGAGCCTTGTATTAAATTTTACACTTTTTGGCCCAACAGATAAAACTTTATTGATATTCATAGAAAAAAAAACTAAAAAAATTGAAAAATGAAAATATCCGTAAACAGCTCAAAATATTTTCAAAATTGTATGGTGTATAGGAAATGCTAGTATAAACATTCAGTGAAATTTTCATGTCTCTATAGTTATTCGTTTATGAATAACAACAAAATAAGGAAATCGCTACATGAGAAACGAGTGAACATCCAATGTTGTAAAAATTTGAATTTTAAACGATCATAAAAATTTAATTTGACTGTCCGGTAGAAATTTTTTTATTGATAAAGGTAGACAAACTTATGAGTAATCTTGTATTACAATTTCAAATCTTAGATTTAAAAAGAAAAATTTTTACTAATTCTTAACTCAAAATAATTTGCTAATATTCGTGATTTTTCCATATTTTGTCAATTTTTGAACTTTAAAAGCTTATAAAAAAAAACTGTGACTAACGATTTTTAATATTTTTCATCTGCCTTTGAAACAATATACTAGGAGCCTTCTATTAAATTTTCAGTTTTTTTAACCAACATATAAAATTGTATTGATATTTCTAGAAAAAAAAACTAAAAAAAAATGAAAATGTCCCTAAACAGTTCAAAATAAATCAAAATATTTTGAAAATGTTATCGTGTATAGAAAATGCAAATATAAACAACCACTGAAAATTTCATGTATCTACGGTCATTTGTTTTAAAGTTACACCAAAAACCAAAATCGATTTTCTCGAAAACAGATTTTGCGTAAAAATTCCCGTTTTTCCTTAATTTTTATTTTGTTTTTCCCGGCGCTTTTGAAAACTACTGGGAAATTTAAATTTTGACCTCCCCAATGCACCAACGATATTCACTTTCGAATCGAACAAGATACTGAAGTTGATAATCGGAGCATTATTTCGTCATTTCGACTACTTATCGTGTCCACAGACACAAAAATAAAAAAACACACATCATTGTAAAATCAATACATTCATCGTTTCACTCAGAATCTAAAATTATCTGTAGTTGAGCCTACTAAGTTGTATTTCTTTAAACATATGATTATAATATAAATAATAAAATGGATGACAACAATTTCCAACTATGTTAAAAAAAATGCAGTTTCCCATGCCTATAACACATAATAATAAGCTTAGGTTACTATATATTTTTGAAGAAGTAATTTCTTTTTTTTAAAAAAAATGAGTTTCTTGACAAGTTGATTAAAAAAAAAAAAAAAATGTATGTTAACAATAAATTTCTTATATTTTATTAAAACACCTTGAATAATTCCTTTTAGAGGGTCAATATAGAATGATAAATTGGTAATATATTGTGTCATATATTTTGTATTCATATTATTTGTATTATACTCACACTAGATTAGTCAACAAAAATATGGCTGTCAAGTTTTCATGTTGGGTAATTTTACACTTACACCATGTCACCATGTCTTCCATTTTTAACTGTATTCAGGGCATGGCAATACCATAACATTGTGAGGGAACTTTTTAAACTCCTTTTAATATGATTTTAATACCGGTTTACCATTTCTATTGTACGGCTTCTACATAATGAATTTGTATATTAGATATGTTTGGTAAGTTTTTTGATTGATATAAACTTAAAACTCAAATTTTGAAACCAGACAACAATCCAGATCAAACACTACAGAATTTCGTAATTTAAAGATAAATAATTTATGTTTGTGAAAATGAAGGTGAAAAAATAATAAAAATAAAATTATATTTATTACACAATTCTGTTAGTCAAGTATATATACATTTTTTATGTCATGCCAAACAATTTTTTTTTGTATACAGCTGGTAACTTTTCAACAAATGAACATGGATTGACTTCAACGGCAACCAGTTCTTCTCGATTTAAAAAGTCAAAAAACACCAAATGCTAAATTACAAACATCAAAAATTTCTCATGTTAAGCAATTTCTTATGCAAGTATAAGTACAATATGATATACTCTGTGCCACGAGATAAGAGGACGGGGTGGCGATGAAAATGCTCTTTTTTCGAGCATTCTCGCTACTTTGCCATTCAGCACAGATCATTTGCAGTCGTCAACAACACACACGAGGTGGCTGCGTGCGCATGATTTACTGCAGACGACGGTCACATAGTGAGGGCAATCAGGCCTCGGAACGAGCGCTGCTATCAGCCTGCATGCTCAAAACGGTACCCTTTTCTCGTGGGACAGAGTATATACTCTGTTCAAGTTAAAAGTGCCCAAAATCGCGCATGCATACTGAGCCGCCAACAGCTGTCAGACCCCCAGGTGACAGCAGACGCGCTGTGATTGGTCAGCATTGTCGACCGCCGCGGTCAACTGTCGGATCGGAGGCATGCCGCCTTCTATATATAGATGGTTGTGCGTCAGCACACCAGAGCATGCATGCGCGAACAGAACCAGTTTTCTTTCATGCGACTGGGCACTCTTAAATTGAACAGAGTATAGTAACAACAATTTTATATTATAATATACTTTTTTTTAACGTATTTAAATTTTAAAATCATTAAGATGTAAAATTAAAGAGCAAGTGTATACATTACATTGGTTAAATATATGTTGGGCTTTGTAAGACTAGTACATTTAAGGTAAATTAAGTTTAAGCAAAGAAATCTTTTTATTGACGCCTAGTTTGGTAAGGATTTTGAGTAATGTTTATTTTCCAAAAAATATTAAATCATTAGGTTTAGGGAATGAACATAATTATGCAAAATATTGTAATCAATTATAAAATTAAATAAATAATCTCTTCAAACAGTTAAAAACAAAAATTAGAAATATGTAATTAAGTTTTCAGAAATGATTTTGCCATTTTGGGTTTAAAATATAAAATAAGTGATTATACAAGTAATAGCTACACGCCTACACATAACACATAAGTATAACATTTTAGTTTGGAAAAACTAAAATTATTGCTACAAATTGATTTATTAACAACATTAATATTAAATTTTTTATACTCACTTCATAATTTTGTATAATCTTAAGAGAAAATTTAATGGGTTTAGATTCTAGTTTCTTAATTTTTTTCTCTGGATCTTTTGAATTATTCTAAAAACATAATAATAATAGTTAAGACAGTTTAAAAGTTTTTAGTTTAATTTTATAATTACTTCATCTTTTGTCAAGACACAAATAGTATTATCATCTGAAAAAATAATAGAATCATTTCTCGAAGCATCAAACGTAATACAGTTAATTGGAAATGATCTATTTATTAACTCTGAAGGCGGGTTTAAAAATAATTGTTCTGAAAAGTCAGTGTATTCTTGTCTACTTAAATTATATTCTACAACCTGAAAAATTGAAATTAAATATTATTACATTTCCATTATTTTTGTAGTCAAGTAATTAATTACATTTCGATTTGCATAGGCAATAACAAGATTTTCTGTCGTAGGATGAATCTTCATGCTTGTCGGAGAACAATGATATTTTGGTAAAGTACAATAATGCTGGAACCAACACACCATCACAAATTAGCATACTACAATTAATAATTATGGTTGGTAGTATACTCTTACCTTTCCTTCATTGAACACGACAATATTACTTTTTCTATCAGCTGCGACAACATATTTATTCCATTTAGACACTTCCAATAAATGTATTAAGTCTTTGAAATCTATAATTGATAAGTAAATAAGTAATTAGTACTATAAAATTCTAATATTTACAAGAAAATCTTTAACTTACAGGGAGTAGTATCAATGCAGTATTTAGTCGATAAATCAAACTTGTGAGACATTTCTAAACAGACCAAAGTATTTTCATGTTTCGTAGCAAACCACAAGTATTTGCTATCAGTCGAAAATGCCAGCTGAGTGGAAACATCACATTCAACCGGTTGAATTCCCGTCTTTTTAATCATTGGTTCACAAGTGGCAGAATCCTAAGTAGTAATATAATAAAATATTTAATTAAATGAATATATGTGATTGACAAATGAAAATATATTGCATACCATAATCAAACTAAATATTTTAAGTTTTTCTTCAGTTGAATAAACAACCCATGTGCCATCAGGTGAGATTGCTGAACATCGTACATAATCATTTTTTGAATATTTGATGGTTACCAGTTTAGACAATTTGTTTTCATACTTATGTTTATCGCCCAAATACCAAACGTCTAAATGGCTCAGATGTAACATCAACACATAACGAGCTTCTGATGCTAGAGATATAGTAGACTGAAATGAAGATAATAATTTTAAATTCATTTAAAGTTTCCGATATATAATATATATAACTTGTTCAATTAAAGAAAATAACTAACAGACATCAATGGAGGGTATTTAACCATATGTTTTGGAGGATAGCTGCTCACCGATAAGTATCCATCAATACCTATAGAAAAATAAATATTATTCCTATACAATATATACCATAAGGATAAACACAATAGAATTACCTCCTGAAAATAGTTTCCCTTTAAAATGAACTAATGACCGTACTTCTACTGTATGTGCCACTAGTTGTACACTTCTAACCCATTTGTTGCATTCAACACTCATGTCAGATTTCATGGATATTAGCTCATAACATACAATAAGTGGATCAACACCTAAAAAATATTAAATGTTAAATAAATAAATTATAAATTAACACTATTTAATAGTTTTATGATATAGCATACTGAGTAGTGTAATTTATTGTAAATTACATTTTACCATTTCATATAAAACTATTAAACTGCAATCACCTAACTATAATTTACATTAAATTTAATTTGATATACATAAATTGTTGTTCAGAAAATATTAAAGAACTTATAATAATTTACTACAAAATAAAAATAAACACAGTGAAGAACCCTAGTTAAGAAGCCAATATAGTACTACAAAAGTTTTGGGGTTGAGGCAGTTATGAGATGTTTTGAATACATTTTTAAAAACAAATTTTCTGTTTCATTAAGTTATAGGTTTTAAATTAAAACCCGAATCTTCTACATATTATTATCATTATATAAAAGTATTGAACATAATTTATTCTCTACATCTGATCAAGTAAATATATATATAAATAATATTTTCATGCTATTTAGTAGTATGGGTACAAACTGCAAAAAATTCTTTAAATTATAACAATAAATACTAACCACTGCAATAAACTTTAGTCTGTGATTCATCTAAACATACTGTAAGTGCAATTGATTTAAGTGCTTGGTAATTGGCTATGTTTGTGCCTTTATTTCCATCCCAAAAACATAATTTACCACTAAAACATTATATAAAGGTCAAAACAGTAAAATCACATATTTTTATAAACCGTTAAAGTTTATTTTTACCGAGAATCAGCACTAATGATTGTGAAATCGCTGGTGACTGCTATCGATGATACAATTGTCTCAGTTTGACCAGTAGGAAGTTTGTGTAGAGCATGACCACTTCTTCGGCTGTAAATACGTAAAGCATTTATGGAACCCGTGACTAGCCATTCACCACTTGAATCCCAAGAAATACAACTAATCTTACCTGTAAAATAATATTTTCTTTAACTTAAAATAAACAAGTTATTATAACATAGATTATTTAAATACCTTCTTGTTTGTCCATTAATCTGTCATAAGTCAATCCGTCTGATGTTATTTCAAATATATTAATATAGCCATCTTGAGTTCCAGCCTATATTAATATATTAATTAAAAATAAAATAAATCTGGTTGTATTTTAAAAATGGTAACTCACGGCTAAACGTCCACTGTTTTTATGAATTGCTATACACCAACAAGATCCAGACGTTACAGTTTTGTTATACTGAAACACAAACGTGATAAATGAAAAAAAAACTCAAAACAATAAATCACTGAGGAATTGCATTACTATCACTCACCAAAGGCGAAAGACTGTGCAGGTCGTGTTCCGTAACAGTGCCATTTGCACTGCAACTGAACAACCTTTCGTTGTACCATGCGAGACCCTCGACACTGCTGTCGCATATCAACACCCTGTCGATGTGCGGCTTGTAGGAGACGTCCCATACCTCAATTGACGCGTTTGACCTGTAGACCAAAATGATCAGACATGTACGGTCGGAGACGAAAAAAAACATAAATTGGTGATGTACCTACCTTCCTACAGCTAGTTTTTGAGTCTCGCTTTCGATGACCATGCATTGGATCGACAGCAGTTCGGGTGAAAAAAAATTCACCCTGTGGACGTCAAACGAACCCATTACAAGTGTCGGGTTGTGAAGAGCATAAATTAATGAAAATTGAAATAATTAACACCTTTTGATTTTTCTCATATACAATTTTTTGAACAAACTCAGACGTGAACTCGTAAGCCTAACTCGGGACGAGACAGTTAAAGATTTTTAAAATATGTTCAATACTCGTACAATCAACAATGTATGAAAGACACATGCCCGCATGGAGTATGGAGTACATTCATAAGTTTTAGTATCAATAATTATCACTTATCAATGTTTACCGATTTTCCGATGGATAAGAAATACCAAACAGAATGGAGAGACACCAGTGTTGCCATGATGCAAAAATTAAATCTACTCGAAGAGGTCTCGTTCGAACGATACAAGATAGCCGCGGAATATGATTTTAAAAATGTCTGTTTCAATTAATTGCCTCGCTCGGTCTTCGACAACGATAAAACTATCCTAGTGAAAACCAGTGACTGAACCGGCCACCCAGGGCTTAATTTAGGAGGGGGGTTCAATAGCACAAAATTTGGCTAAACCCTGGGAAACTACATAGTGAAATCTGAGAGTATAAACTATAATGACTATAAGCCATACAGTAAAGAATATAATCATAACATTACCTACAACAAGCCGGGTCAAGGGACGTTGAAGACTTCATATATTCTTGAGGCATCAGACGATGTTTTCCTAGCTAAAAATGACGTTTTTCGGTAACATATGAACATGGCAGAGGTAAATAATACGAATTAACTAATTTTTTTCAGTGTTATAATAGGTCATATTGGTGACTTTTAGATTCTGAGCGACGAAGCGATAGTGCTTTTACAATGGTGCTTTTTTAGATTCTGAGTGGTAAGATGAATGTATTGATTTTACAATGATGATGTTTTTTTATTTTTTTATTTATTTTAGATTCTGAGTGAAACGATAAATGTATTGATTTTACAATGATTTTTTTTTAAATTTAAATTTTTTTTTTTATTTGTGTCTGTGTACACGATAAGTAGTCGAAATAATGCTTCGATTTTCAACTTCAGTATCTCGGAAAGTGAATATCGTTGGTGCATTATACAAAATTTAAAATTCCCTGTAATTTTCAAAAGCGCCAAGAAAAACAAAAGAAAAATTAAGGAAAAACGGGAATTTTTAAGCAAAATCGATTTTTCAGAAAAATGAATTTGGTTTTTGGTGTAACTTTAAAACAAATGACCGTAGATACATGCAATTTTCACTGGTTGTTTATATTTGCATTTTCTATACACGAAAACATTTTCAAAATATTTTGATTTATTTTGAACTGTTTAGGGACATTTTCAGTTTCCAATTATATTAGTTTTTATTTTTTTATGAATATCAATAAAAATTTATTTGTTGAGTAAAATTTAAATACAAGGCTCCTACTATATTGTTTCAAAGACAGATAAAAAATATTAAAAATCGTTAGTCACAGTTTTTTTTTAAGCATTTAAAGTTCTAAAAATGACAAACTATGGAAAAATCACGAAAATTTACAAATTATTTCGAATTAGAAATTCATAAAAATTTTTCTTTTTAAATCGAAGATATGGAAATGTAATACAAGATTCCTTATAAGATTTCCTACATTTATCAAAAAAAAAAAAAAATTCTATAAGAAAGTCAAATTAAATTTTTATGAGCGTTTGAAATTCAAATTTTTACAACATTGGATGTTCACTCGATTTCTCATGTAGCGATTTCCTTATTTTGTTGTAGTTCAAAAACGAATAACTGTAGATACATGAAAATTTCACTGAATGTTTATATTAGCATTTCCTATACACCATACAATTTTGGAAATATTTTGACTCTTTTTGAGCTGTTTACGGATATTTTCATTTTTTTAATTTTTTTAGTTTTTTTTTCTATGAATATCAATAAAGTTTTATCTGTTGGGCCAAAAGTGTAAACATTTAATACAAGACTCCTGATATATTGTTACAATATTAGTTCAAAAACATTGAAAATGCATAGGTACAATTTTTTTTTTATAAGCATTTAAAGATCGAATTTTGACAAAATATATCAAAATTAATCGAAAATCATCAATCATTGTAATTAATAAATTATAAAATGTTCAGTTTTTATAGCTAAGGATTACAAATTTAAAACAAAGGTTCTCATAAGTAGTTCATACAATAACCAAAAAATCTAAAAATATATGACCAGTTATTTTTTACAGACATTTTAAATTCAAATTTGGACGAAATTACATATTAAAAAACCTAGAATAACTATTTTAGTTATTTTGTTGTGATTGAATAATATTATTCGTGGGTACTTGAAACTTCTAAAGTGTACTATTATATATCTATGATAGTATCACGGTTGATGTATAACGCGTTATAAGTACCTACCTAATGGATATTGTGATATGATTAATTTGGAATTTATTATAGGTACCTACCTATTATAGGTCAATTTTTTGTTTAATACCATAGATATGTATATAATATGTGACATATACTTATACTTAGACTGACATACCGTCTCCGCTCAGAATCGTTTTTCTTATACAATGATATTATATCGTTGAATTCAAATTTATATCATCCATTATACAGTGACCCACTTGTAACCTACTGTACAGCAGAGCGACACCCACTTGCCCGCCTTTTTTTTTTTATATCCTGTATACAAAATATCAACCAGAAGGAGTGCTTCAATTTCAATATATAGTACCTACCTTATATTTTAGCAAATTGGATCAAGATGGTACTTTAGGAAGGTCGTTTTTTGATTTTCTGAATAGTTATTTAATGCCACAGGAAAAACCACCAAAAAATTTCGAAAAACCGCTAAAAATGGAAATTTAATTTATAACGATCTGTTTATCACCATAGAAACGAATAAAAAATAATAATATTACTATATTAAATCAACTTAATATATAATAAATAATAACAATATAAAATATCCAGATTGACTCCGCTCAGAATCGTTTTTCTTATACAATTATATCATATCATTGAATTCAAGCTTAATACAATCCTTTATACATTGACCCACTTGTAACCTACTGTACAGTAGAGCAACATCCATTTAGCCACTTTTTTAAAATCATTTTTAGAAGTTATAGGATAAGTTTGGTTATGAGAAAGGTGATAAATGTATCGATTTCAGTATTTTACAAAGATATGTTTTTTTATGTGTGTAAATGATAGGTAGAGTTGGTAGTTGAAATGCAGATAGCGTTTAAAGTTCAAATGGTAACAAAATTCATCTAGGTAATTGAAAATTTGCAAATTATTTTGTATTTAAAATTTTATAAAATGTTCCATTTTGATGACTTAGGATTGAAAATTTAAAACAAGGTTCCATGTAAATAGTTTATACTGTAAACAAAAAATATATTAACACAGTTATTTTCTAGATATTTTAAGTTTAAATTTGGACAAAATAGATATTTGATCAAAGACTTCAGTTGTTTTGTATTGTAATTTAAAAATATTAATCGTGGATTATGGATATCAACTAACTTGTAAAATGTATTATTATTTTTTTAATACATACAACTATACAAGTACACAATGACATTTACAAATGAAATTTTTTCTGTAAAAAATAATCTAACCTACTGTATTACTAATGCTTAATAGTGAAATAAATTATTTTAATGTCAGACATTCTCAGTAATATCATAAGATATATTTAGTTATATTATAGGGTGACTTACTGTCTTCGTTTAGATTTTTTTTTTTGTAAACAATGATTTTATAACATTGAATTAAACATTAACATATCCGTTACAGTGACTTCTCTTGACACCCAATGTACAGTAGAATGTTACCCACTTGCCAGCTTTGTTATTTTTTTTTTTAACAATATTATAAAAATGCCGAGTTTACTTTTGTCATTATTATATTTTATAGTTTTTATATTCATCACAAATCGAATAATTTAATTTTAAAAACTTATTAGAAAAATACAAAGTTTTTAAATTCAAATCAAAATTACTTATGTTTATAAATTGTAATTTTTAATTTTAAACTCTTTAAATAATTTTATTAACTTAAATGGTTTTATGAGTGTTCTTTTGAATATTTAGGTCATTAACATATAAGATTTATTTTTGTCATTTATAACTTTTTTTAAGGCATCGACACCCGGGACCTACCTATAACCAGAGAACATTGTAACAAGGCAAGTTTGACGAGCACTGCCTAAGTCCTACTATAGACACTATACCATTGTTTTTACTATTTTTGCTGGGTAGGTAGTTTAAATTTTTCCACCATCCAGTTTCCCTCGTAAAGCAATGATTCTTTGTACCTAGGTTGATATGGCATTCTTATGAGTTATGACTAGTATTGTTATGTTCGGTTAATTAAATTAGTCGATGGTTACTGGTTAGCAATAGATTAGACATTGACTTTAAATCTGGAAAAATAAATTAAAACTTTTAACAGAAACCAAAACATGATAGTTAGTTAAGTATTGATAAAAGATGGACATAAAATAAAATTGAGAAACATTATATTTTATGGTGCGTTAAAAATTTCAAAACTTTTATGTTTTAAAAATCTTTACACCATAATTATGTATTATTTTATATTTAACATACTTCTAAAATGTACGATTTAGGTAAGTGTAATATTAGTATAAGACATTATATAGAAAAGACAAATATTTGTTTATTTTACAAAAATACAAATACAAACAATATATAAGTCTCTTATTTTTTAGTCCGAACCTTAATAAAAAATAATTGTACAGTAAAATTATGAAAAATATATTTGTGGGATTTTTCATAAATGTTGTTTAGTTGAATAATAGTTATATAGTAGGAATATTTAGGATGTCGGAAGATCAGAAATCTGAGTCACAAACTTAAAGTCTTCTGGGAATAGTAAAGCAGCATTAGCCAATATCAGTTTATATGACTGCTTAATTGTGACTTCTGCAACACCAGCAATGTCCCCAATTTCTTTTTGAGAACGTTTTTCATCGGATGCTTGAGATGCCATAAATATTGCTGCGGCCGCTACGGATATAGGAGAGCGACCTGGTACAATATCATATTCTACTGCTTTTTTAGCTATATGAGTAGCTGCTCTCTGAACCATGTTTGGTAATCCCAAATTACAACAAAATCTCGACATGAAATCTCCAGTTGTTATCAAATCAACACTTGTTTCCAACGCCTTTAATATTAATTTAAAAACTCTTCCAATTTCTTTTTTACTAACTTTGCTTACAGCACATATTTCTTTGAATGTACGTGGCACACCTTCTTGCCTACAAGCGATGTACAAGCTAGCTGACGCAATTGCGTCATTGGATCGACCTTTAAGATTTTTGCCATCGTGCACTTGTTTGAACAGTACATTGGCCCTGTCAACAATATTCCTTGGCAAATTTATGCGATCGGCCATAAGGCCAATTTCTCTGTACGCATTAAGTAGTGAACGGTTGGTTGAACAAACCATACCCTTATTTTTGTACTTCATACCTCCAAACTCATCAAACGATGCATCGCCCCTCGAAGGACCGACCAGTGTTGACAAGTCAGAACCATTGAGCAATGGATTTTCTGCCCCTCCAACACGCGAAGGATCGGCACTGTTGGCGCCCTTGTCATTACTGAACGTCCTCCATTCGGAACCAACATCTATCACACGATCACCGACCACAAGACCGCATTCAGAACATATTTGATCGCCAGCTCTGTAATCTTCAATCAATGGGGCATCTGGGTGCTGTTGGCATTGCACTAAACCAAACGTACAGTTTCTTTAACCATAGCACAACACGAATAATATAACAGTTAAGTATGAATTCAGTAACTTACCTAGATTTTTCGACATTATTCTTAAGTTTAATAATAACGCAGAAATAAAAACGATTGTTGCATTAATTGAACTCTTCTACTTTTTGCATCAGTCTACTATCAATAAATTCGATTATGTAATTTATAAAAAGACAGTACTATATTACAATAATAGATTGTCTCGTAGTCTTGTGTAGTTGTGTTATTAAATATTATTTATTAATATTGTTAATTGTTATTATTGCATTTATTCATTAAATAATGAATTCATTATCATTCATTCATTCCATTACGTGACGACTTCCTGACATAATATAAATTTAATAAAAATTATAATTTTACGTCTACCTGGTTAATGGTATAGGAATCTCATGGTTACCATGATAAGCTATAGTTTGATAGTAGCAGATTTATCATTTATATGATATCATGATAAGAATTAGGAACGACATATTTTGTCCATTTATCAAATATTCAGAATATCATCGATTTTCCTTTTTCGAATTACTCAAAAATCAAAAGCTTAAATGGACTCATTTTCTTCCTTCATTTATTTAGTATTAATGTCATAGATTAAAATTTATATTTTGTAATAAGTGTAGAATCAAAGCTTATGTTCTTAAATTTTTTTTGTTTAGCTGCAGTAATTTTAAACATCCAACTGTATTTCTCAATATGTCGTTGAACTTTCAGTCACACACTATCAGTCAAAGAAAAAGTTTAAAGTTAAAAGGTACAAAAACGTCAGTCACTAAAAATCAAATTTTGATTTCTACCGGAATAGTATCGTTGGACGCAGTTTTGGGTAAGAAAATTCAATATGTAAAAATTCCATATTAACAATTGGTTTATTATAAATATTTGTTTTATTTTATTTTTTGGTTTATTTCACTAAATACCGACTGTTGTATCATAGATTAATTTTTTTCTCTTTGATTTGTTTAGATGGAGGTATTCCAATAGGCACTGTGGCTCTTGTTGGTAAGTGTTGACAAATTATATACAATACTTAGTCTGTAGACATATTATGAATATGATTATAACTATTTACTATCAACTATTTTATTGGACATTATTTTAATTGGATTGATATTGTTTTTTTGTATGTAGAAGAAGAAAATCATGGCCGAAATGCAGAATTGATTACAAAACATTTTATAGCTGAAGGAGTTGTGTGTGACCATTCTATTTTGATCGCTGATGTCGAAAAGAAGCCAGAAACAATTGTAATTTTTTTCTTTATTCTGTTTTTATTAAGAGTAAATTAATATTAATTTGTTTTAAGATTTCAAATTGCTACTACATAATTCAATTATGTATTATATGGGTATATGATAACAAAATCCAACATATTTAATTAATTTTTTTTGATAAATTACATTAAGTAGGTTTGGATTGATATTTTAGATAGACTTACATGTATGTCTTTAATTTGCTTATTGTTCTAGGCAAATGATTTACCAAAACCAATTCAAGAAGAGAGTTTTCAACCAACCGATATTATTGCTGAGGATTTTAAAATAGCTTGGCGCTATAGTCAAAATCCTATATATGACTCTAAACCACATCATACATCAATATCTTTTGGACATACATTTGATATGTCTGCTAAAATTCCTGTTGATGAATTAAAAAACATTAGGTATTGGCCAGACGAAAAATCACAAGGTACCCACCTATTTACATAGTTTTAATATTTTTTTCACAAAACATATTTTCCGCAGTACAGTATTATTAAGCCATAAACTATACTTGGAAAATTTCACTTTTCACAGAGTTATCTAGGTACTTAATCAAATACAATTTTATGATTATTTGTTTATTTTTAATAATTTACTGTTTGATTTGTTTTGTACTCGGATAATTATAGAAATGGTACGTTTGTTAATATAAAATTAAATCCACAGCATGGAAATTAATTATTTTTAATAAAATAAACAATTTAATTGCTATAGTATAGATTCATCAAGCATGTTCATCCCATTTGTTTTTCTTCAGTAACGTTGTTATTCAAAATCTGATTATTGGAATTTGTAAATATACTTAAGGACAAAGCTAAGCAAGTTAAGTATTTATTATTAACTCATTAAGTTAAGTTAATATAAAAAAATGTATGTTCAGTGTAAAGTTACTTTTATTTTTTATTTTAACTTGTAAAAGTTACAAGTTAATTAGAAAATAAAAGTAACCTAACTATTAAAAATCGGTTACTTTTTTTTCATATACAATTAATTAAATTATACATACCTTTTTTTAAAGCTATTAAATAACATAGTAATTCAATAAAAGTCTTATAATTATCTAATATATGTTCTAACATTTATCACTGTAGGTGCACTTATTTTAAAGTATTTAAAAAAAAAAAATGTGATTTGGAATTATATTTCCGTTAATAAAGATTATTATATAATTTAATCAATAATAAAATCCAATAAAATAATATTTTTAAATTCTTGAAATTGATTTTTATTATTGAAAGAGTAATTGTGGAGATACAAACATCTGTTTTTCAAATGAGATCCCCCCCCCCCTTCCAACTGTAAATTATTCAGTAGATATTTTTTATGAAAAATTTGTTGAAAAAATAGGGAGTGAGCATGCTTGGTGATTCACACTGTATATATATTGTAAGTCATTCGTGAGTATTGACTTGTTTTTTTTTCACCCCAGGTACCAGTTACTCCGAGCTACTAGAACAAATAAATACAATAATAACTAAAGGAGGTTTTAGTACAAAAATTCCTGTTGAACAAAGACATGTATTAAGAATAACAATTAGTAATTTGTATTCACCAATTTGGGATTCTAATGATATGAACGTCGTTACATTTTTGTATAAGCTTCGAATCCTTGTACGTTCTTCATATGCTACTTGTCTCTTAACATGTCGAGCTCATACAATTGATAACGTAAGAATTTATTTATTTATTTTCCTAATGCGTCATCTTAATAACTTAATGTTTTTGTTTGATCATTTTAGGTGGTTAAATGTCGAATGGAACATTTTGTGGATACAGTACTAATTTTGAAACCAATGGAACTAAGTTCATGTGCAGACTATAATGGGAAGCTTATCATTGGTAAATTAGCGTCTTTTAACACTTTTTTATATGAACCTCTATCTGTAGATTGGGCTACAAAACTCACTAGAAAAAAACTATGCATTGAGGTAATATTATTATTTTATAACCTAGTATTACAGACCATTGGTGAATGTTGTATTATATAATAATGATTATGCATATCACCAGAGCTATGAATTTCATGATTGAATATCAATCGATTTAAGTTACTTAAAAAATACTTTCTAAGTTAAAATAAATCTGATCAAGATTTACTATTATAAATTTAATTTGACATATTATTATGTTGACAACTACAGCTTGAATCAGAGCTTTGGTGATTACAATTTTAAATTTTAAACCAAATTCTACAAAACACGACACACTTTCCTCTGACATTCTCTACCAAATACTAATTATAAAATATATTTATTTATTTAGAAATTACATCTTCCTCCATGCTTGAACAGCGGTGATGATAATGAAAATGTTCACACTAAGCAATTGTCATGCGCTTCAACAACTTCTGTATTAAATTTTTAGTTGGTTTAACCTGTTGTAATTTTATAAAAATAAATATTTTTTGTACATTTAGGTATGTTTATCATATTTTTATGAAATAATACCACAGACTATGATAGAAATGACTGGAAATGAACAAGCAGGCAAGTGACGGTGAGCCTGGCCACTTAATATATGGAGTAGGCTTGTGCGGGAGGTTAAATGGGGTAAGTGCAAATCTAGCGCAAATCTAAATTGATAATATTAATTAGATAAACAAAGATAGGTAGTGCTAGATTCACACTTGCCCCATTCCCCCAAAAATCCCTACTTGTAACCTTAAGCGGTCCTCTAGTGATTAGTATACATATTTAGAATTTTTGACTCGGTTATCATATCACCTGTAGGCTGTTACCAGTGTGTAAAAATGTAAGATGTCCATCTTAAAACACTTATAACTTAACGTAATATGGAAAATCATTAAGTTCCTGACATTTTAGTATTAGTAATTTGTACACTATTACATATTATATGGTTAAATTATTGTCAAACTACAATTCTATAACAAAAAAAAAAAACATTCAAATATCTAAAATTTAAATGTAGAATTCTTTATAAAAAAAAAAAATATGATATATTTACCTGTTATTGCAATAATTATCTTTATAATATAATTAACTGAAATTTTTTTTAAATAGGGTTTTCAATAATGAATTAAGTTTATTGAACTTTTATATATAAAAAATAAAAAATGTTTAATGTATAGGTATACAATTTATTTTGTTTTTGTAGACCTTGGCCTCAAATAGTCAATCTAGGTAAATTGCCATCTAAAGGGATGTCGCCCATAAGAAATTTATTATAAAGATATTTTGATTGATTATGCGTTAAATATGCCGTTTTATCTTAAAACTGGTAAGATAATTAGTAATAGTTTCATATTAATATTTTATTACATACCTACCTACTGTCCACTTACTTATTCAATTAATAGTTTTATGACAATTAATCGTTTTTCCTGACTTCAAATTTTAAAAAAGTTAGTTGAATATTTTGTCAGAATGCAAATCGAGTTGCTACATATTGTTGGAATTAGAGTAGTCTGTTTGGGTGAAAAATAAACATTTTTAATTCATATTTTATAATAGTAAATTTGTTTATTACAATTGTTTTTTCATTTAACTAAAACAATACCAAAATCCCAATATTATTATGGCGGGGGGTCACTCGACGGTCTTGGACACCAGTTTTCACTCGCATAAGCTAGGCAGGCCTGGTGACCATTGGATGCGGCACTGCTCCAAGTGTCCATGTCCCACGGGCAATGGTTCTTCCGTGCGTACATCAGGCAATCAAGATGACCATTCAATGCAGCGTTGCTACACGTCGCATGGTTCCAGCGGCAACGATGCTTCCGCGCATACATTAGGCAGTCCAAGTGCCCGTTCAACGCAGCGTTGCTGCACGTCGCCTGGTTCCACGGGCAACGGGCCCTCCTTAAATACTTCAAGCACTTCAGATGTCCGTTCAAGGCGGCGTTGCTGCAAGCTTTAAAACTCTTCGGACACCCGTGCATCACGGCATATTTCAAACATTTTAAGTGGCCGTTCAATGCGGCGTTGTTGCACGTCATATCGTTCCACGGGAGGCCCATCTCGTGGGCGAGTTTCAGGCAATGGATGTGCCCTTGCAACGCCGCCTCCTCGCAAACGTATTTAAACTTCTTGTCCACGACTGCGAACTGCGACCGGTTGTACATGGTCTGCCTACCGTCGCCCTCGTCTAGGTTCTTGTTGACTTTTAAGAATTCAAAAAGCGACTCGCAACAATATCGCAAGTCGACGTCCGGTGTTTCTGCCAAGTCGAATTCGTTACGTTCGGCCTTGTTGCAGGCGTAATAAGCTGTTTTTACCAGGCTCGGTAAGCTGTACATCACTAAAATGTCCGCTTCAGACGTACAGCAGAGACGGTTGTAGAGTGATTTCTACGCGTATGTCAACTAAAATGATAAAAATATTACCACAGAAGAGAGATTTCCGTATAGTGCAGTATAGGAGTCTGTGCCACAGAATAAATTATTCTGTGATATTACTGGCAAGCCGACGATTTAGGTTTGATCAGTAACATACGATGGCGCACGAACAACGACTCCGCAAACAAGTACGAAGTAACAAGTAACCGTGATGAAAAAACATTTATTTTGTAGGTAGCTCGTTAATCGTCACGCAAGTCACAAGTAAAAACGAAGTATGTATGGAGTATCCGAGTATGAGAATCGAGTACTCAACGCGACAAGTCGGTACGCTTCACGTCAGTTCAATCTACAAATCACAGTACTTTTCAGTATTCAGTGGTTTAGTACCTACCTGTTGTTTGTCGAGAGTTAGGTTAGGTTAGTGTGGTTAGTTTCCAGCATAGATAAGACTAGTGTATATATATATACGGTGTACAGCAACAGTGTATTAATAGTCTCGTTGATGGCATGGACTAAAACGTAAAAAGATTTTATTTCATGATATTGTTAAGGCGGGTTCACACTACACCGAATATATTCAACTATTCGGTATCATTTGGTAACTGTGGTAACAGTGATTATTTTACACGACACGGTATAGTGTGAACCCCCCTTTAGTATTATATATTCAGAATTCCGAAAGGTCGGGTGGTGCACATAGATATTATAATATCGATAGTGGTGCATTGGATGGTGGACCCGTGGGCAGTCTTGTAAAGTATTCGAATAAAAGTATTTAAATACTATTTTTATATTCGAATACTATTCTAAATACTTTTTTTTTTAAGTATTCGAATACGTATTCTGAATACTTTTATTTGTATTTTTTATTCATTAAAAAAATACTTTTTCCGATCCAGTAAAATAGTTTTAAATTTGTGACAAGACTACATATTATAAATCATGAACATTAATTTTATTCTTTGAAAGAATAATATAATTTTGGCCCATGATATGATTATTTTTATAAATACCAATGTGTTTTATCACGTATTGTTCGTATCGGCCGTATCATATGTGGTCAAAATGTATAAATAGCTTATGATTACAAAGTAATTTTAATTATTAATTAATAAATGTTAATTAGTAATTACCAACCATTCAAAAACTGACAACAATTATTTGTGAAAAAAAGTATTCTAATAGTATTCGAATACTTTTTAAAGTATTCGAATATGTATTCTGAATATATTTTTTAAGAACTATTCGAATACGTATTCTGAATACCTTAATTCTCATTTATTCGAATATGTATTCCGAATACAAAATAAAAGTATTCTTTACAAGACTGCCCGTGGGCCGTGACTAAAATACTAAATACATGACAAAATTATTTAAGTAGGTAAATTATTATTAATAATTATAAAATAAAATTGTTCTCAATTTTATATTACGAAAAATTATTATAAATAATGAACTATGTTAGCCAACAATTTTGTTTAATATGTTTTTTTTTTTTTTTGAGCATTTTAGATTACCGATTTAACTATTTAAGAATATAAGAAGGTTAGGTTAGGTTTATAAGAAAAAATTATTTAGTTCTTGTAAATTAGGTATTTCAGTTAGTATTAATGCATATTGTACTAAACTTTAGAGTTTAGAGGACCATATGTCAGAGGCTAAAATATAATTTTTTTCGTACTACACATTTTATATTAAACTTTTAGTTACCGCGAGGGGCTTTGCCACCCCACCAAAAAAAGTGTATTGAATCTATACACATAAACAATAAACATACCTAGAGTAATCATCAATTTCTATTTTTCTTTATCTACATAGTATAGACTACATCGCAATGTCCGTATATTGGTACGATAATTAATTCGGTATTATACATAATATTGCAATAAATGCACAGAACTATATAATAATACTATACAATACCTATTATAGACAGTGAATTTCAAAATAAAAATCCCCGATTCTAGGAAAAAACATCCCAGACTTCAATATTAGGTACTCACATAATCACATGAAATTGATTGATTAAATGTTTTTTTAAAAGCTAATTAATATAATTACCACATTGTTAATATTTAATTATAAATAAACACAAGGTTTAGGAAAAGCTATCATTAAAAAAATGATTGTATAATAAATAGTGTTCAAACATTAACAATAACATTATTTTGTTTTTGATTTGAAACAACATAGGTAAATGGGTATGTTAATGGTTCTTTTAAAAAAATATAGGTAAATACATTCAGTAACTATTTACTATTGTTTGATAATTATTATTTGTAATTTGTATCGATTATTCGAAATATTTTTATTTTGTAATATTTTAAATATTGTATCTATAAGATTATAATTATTATTAATATTTAAAATTCTTATCTATCTATTTCCCAACGAAACATCAAATAATTTTTCAATTAATGAAGAAAAAAGTGTAAAAAAATGCTAGTATAGTAGTTAATACAGGCCATTACACACCTATTAATTTCGTATTCCACACTTAGTATTTCGTACTACACAGTATACACAAAGTGTGTCGTACTACATACAATTTTAGTCCCTGCCATATGTATAGTTAATAACCTACAGCGAATTAAAATTGATCATTTGACTGACAAAATGTTCAGAAAAAAAGCTTTAGGTACCAGAATCCATCAAAAAATATAGTGGTTACCATTTGAAAAAATTAAGTCAATTTTATTATTGATACAACTGCGTGTTCAAAAATTGATGTTAACAATAAAGAAACACGAATTTTTTTTGTTTTAACGAAATTCCATATCATCCATCCATAATTGTTACAAAAAACCCGCGTACAATGACATAAGATATACACTGTGTATATTTATTATTTTGTATAGTAAAGAATTATACAATAATATATAAAATAATATATACAATATAATATATAATATACAATAATATATCATATATGTAAATATGTAATAAATAATGATAAAATTATTTTGAAGTTAAAGTTGAAATGGGGCCAACTAAGTGTATGGTGTCCCGGGGCCCAATTGATCCTTAATCCGGGCTTGCCTACAAAGTACTAATGTAGATAATAATGGACAAAGGTTCTCTTTTTTATCGTGAACCACTTTATCGTGGAATACAACTTAAAATGTGGTTTTCCTTGATATTATGGCATAGCCACATAGGCCCCATCACCAATTTGAATTTGAATTTCGTAATTGCAACCGTGCTTCCGGACGGGATAGACATATTCACTCGGTGATTGAAAAAAAAAACCCAAAGCAACTTATAGCAACCACTTAGTATTTCAACCAGAAAAGATAGTAGTTACCTATAATAACGATTCTTAATTTTATTTATTACCGAATATAAACAGTTTTAATTCCTATTTGTGAATCTGGTTTTTATACATTTTTTGATTGTAAAAATATTTATCAAAGTCTGCAAGTGGTTCATTTTTTATGATCGTTTAAAAGAACCAATTTATTAAAGTATTATTAATTTGAAAAGTAAAATAACTTTAAAAAAAATATTTAGGTTTAGAACAACTATTTAAAAATTCTCATAAAATATTATCGTGTATACCTATAGAAAATGAGAATATAAACAACCAGTGAAAACTCCCGAGTTTATCCTTAATTTTTATGTTGTTTTTCCCGGCACATTTGAAAATTACTGGAAATTTGAAATTTTGACCTCCCGAATTCACCAACTAGATTAACTTTCCCATCAAACAAGATACCTACTGTTGAAGAAAATCGAAGCAGTTTCACTGCCCCAAACGTGAATGTTTGTCAGTGACCAGTGTGGATATTTTATATTTATATTGTTATTACTTATAATTAATACGATAACCGGTAAGTTGAATTAATATTTTAAAATTATAGCAAAACAAAAATTATTTATTATTTATTTAGTTATTCTTGGTTATTTAATATGTAACTTTCTCCAAAATTGAACATAAAAAAACATAAAACAAAAAAACCGTTTTATATATTTTTGAGATTTTTTGTTACCGATTGACCTATACTTACATGGAACCTTGTAGTTCCAAACAGTTATTCGTTTTTGAATTACAACAATATAAGAAAATCGCTACTAGAGAAATCGAGTGAACATCCAATTTTGTAAAAATATAAACTTCTTACACTCCTAAAAATTTAATTTGACTTTCTTATAGGTATTTTTTTTTTTGATAAAGGTAGATAACCTTATAAGGAATTTTGTATTAATTTTAAAATCTTAGATTTAAAAAGAAAATTTAGGATTACTAACTCAAAATAATTGGCACATTTCCGTGATTTTTACGCTTTTTGTCAAAATTCGAACTTTAATTGCTTTTAAAAAAAATTGTGACTGCGGATTTTTAATATTTTTCACATGTCTTTTTAAAACAATATAGTATTATGTAGCCTTCTATCAACGAAACCTACCAGAAAAGATGCTGTTGAAGTAAATCTATGGATTTTTACTGTCTCAAAAAGTGATTACAGACACAAACAAAACATTTTTTTTTTAAAAACCGGAAAGTTGTTATACCAGACCCAAAATTGGTCATATTAACCGGTTTCAAGCCCTCAAATATTATTTGATGAAATTATTTCGAGTAAAGTAAATTATGTATCTTTTATAAGTTATAGGCTATTTACGAGGAACCTTGTTTAACATATTCAATCCTTAGCTATAAGAGTTAAATATTTTATAAATTTTTAAGTACAAAATAATTATTAAATTTTGTGAAATTTCAAACTTAAAATGCTTATGAAAAAAATTGTGCCGTTGAATTTTTAATATTTTTCAACTGCTATTGTAACGATACATCAGGAGCTTTGTATTACATTTTCACGAATTATTACCCAACAAATAACATTTTATTGATGATTATAGAAAATAAAAATTTAAAACTGACCATGTCTGTAATTTGTAAACAGCTCAAAAATAGTCAAAATATTTAGAAAATGTTATGGTGTATAGAAAATGAAAATATAAACATTCAGTGAAATTTTAATGTATCTACAGTAATAATCTAGTTATTCGTTTTTGAATTCCAACAAAATAACAAAATCGCTAGGTACTGCTACATGAGAAATCGAGTGAACATCCCATGTTGTCCAAAAATATGAACTTCCAACGATCATGAAAATTTAATTTGATTGTAGAAATTTTTTTTTTTTTTAAAGGTATACAAACTCAAGAGGAATCTTGTATTACATTTAATATAACCATAAACAAAAACTGAGTTTTTTTTAAAATATTTTTTGGTTACAGAATAACCTACTTACTTGGATCCTTGTTTAAAATTTTCAATATAATTAGCTATAGTGGTTGAACATTTTGTAAACTACAAAATCATTTTTCAACTAAATTAAATTTTAAATAAATAAAAATGTTGCACCTATCTTTTAAAATACTTAGGTACTTAATGAGTAAAAAAATATTAGTTATAATTTTATTACAAACTATGTTAAATAATTATTTATATGATAACTAAATAGTACTTAAATATATGACTTTACATTAGTTATGTATCTTGTAGTTGTGTCCTATTGGATACACAGGAATCATCTTTACATGGGGGTGGACGGTTCGATTCATCAAATGGTCAATTAAAATTTTGCATTTTTCTTCGGTTGTTATAACTCATTCCGCGGTCCTAACAGGACCGCTCGGCGGCAAAATGATTCATTACTAAATAAATTAACCAGCAAAAGAAAAAAGTGCATTTGGGTGTTCGATGAATCGCTGAAACTTGGACGCGGTTGACAGCCACACATTAATGTGTCCTACTGGACGATCGCGGATTTAGCAGTGTTGGCTACGGACGAAATAATTTCAATCTCTGCCTAATATGTACAATAACTCTGACCGAATCGCCAATTCAGTATCAGACGAAAAACCACCGAGCACAGACGTGACTTGATTAATAAAAAACTCGCCATCGAACGCAACACCGAACTATAAGTAAAAGTACCTCCTTAATATAGAATTATAGAAATATAATCACAAGCGACTGCAAAGTAGCCAAAAACATCGTCTTTATAGACCACACATTTTCACGACTATATATAGTACATCGTTGTGTAATAACACCGAAGTCCGAAATATAAACTAGCGAAGTGTACGGACTAAATGACTGCCGAGTAGCCAGAAACATCATCTTTATAGACCAAACATTTTAACTACTATGTATAGTACATCGCAATGTTATAACACTTTCAACTAAAACTAAAAGTACCTCCTTAATATAGAATCATAGAATTATAGAAATATAATCACAAGCGACTGCCGAGTAGCCAAAAACATCGTCTTTATAGACCACACATTTTCACGACTATATATAGTACATCGCAATGTTATAACACTTTAAACTAAAACTAAAAGTACCTCCTTAATATAGAATCATAGAATTATAGAAATATAATCACAAGCGACTGCCGAGTAGCCAAAAACATCGTCTTTATAGACCACACATTTTCACGACTATATGTAGTACATCGTTGTGTAATAACACCGAAGTCCGAAATATAAACTAGCGAAGTGTACGGACTAAATGACTGCCGAGTAGCCAGAAACATCGTCTTTATAGACCACACATTTTCACTACTATATATAGTACATCGCAATGTTATAACACTTTCAACTAAAACTAAAAGTACCTCCTTAATATAGAATCATAGAATTATAGAAATATAAACACAAGCGACTGCCGAGTAGCCAAAAACATCGTCTTTATAGACCACACATTTTCACGACTATATATAGTACATCGTAGTTTTATAACACTTTAAACTAAAACTAAAAGTACCTCCTTAATATAGAATCATAGAATTATAGAAATATAATCACAAGCGACTGCCAAGTAGCCAAAAACATCGTCTTTATAGACCACACATTTTCACGACTTTATATAGTACATCGTTGTGTAATAACACCGAAGTCCGAAATATAAACTAGCAAAGTGTACGGACTAAATGACTGCCGAGTAGCCAGAAACATCGTCTTTATAGACCACACATTTTCACTACTATATATAGTACATCGCAATGTTATAACACTTTCAACTAAAACTAAAAGTACCTCCTTAATATAGAATCATAGAATTATAGAAATATAATCACAAGCGACTGCCAAGTAGCCAAAAACATCGTCTTTATAGACCACACATTTTCACTACTATATATAGTACATCGTTGTGTAATAACACCGAAGTCCGAAATATAAACTAGCGAAGTGTACGGACTAAATGACTGCCGAGTAGCCAGAAACATCGTCTTTATAGACCACACATTTTCACTACTATATATAGTACATCGCAATGTTATAACACTTTCAACTAAAACTAAAAGTACCTCCTTTATATAGAATCATAGAATTATAGAAATATAACCACAAGCGACTGCCAAGTAGCCAAAAACATCGTCCTTATAGACCACACATTTTCACTACTATATATAGTACATCGTTGTGTAATAACACCGAAGTCCGAAATATAAACTAGCGAAGTGTACGGACTAAATGACTGCCGAGTAGCCAGAAACATCGTCTTTATAGACCACACATTTTCACTACTATATATAGTACATCGCAATGTTATAACTCTTTCAACTAAAACTAAAAGTACCTACTTAATATAGAATCATAGAATTATAGAAATATAATCACAAGCGACTGCCGAGTAGCCAAAAACATCGTCTTTATAGACCACACATTTTCACTACTATATATAGTACATCGTTGTGTAATAACACCGAAGTCCGAAATATAAACTAGCGAAGTGTACGGACTCAAAGACCGTCGAGCAGCCAGGAAGTCGTAATACAGGAACGTTTTAGTGTTCATAGTAATATAGTATATTATCAAATAAACGACCGAAGTGACAGTTCGGTATCAAGCGAGCAAGCAACGTGCGCAGACGTGACTTCATTAAGAAGAAACTTGCGTTTCAAAAATACTTCGGTCTTAATAAAGAGAAGTTTATATAGTCATAAATTAATATAGAACAATTCATAATGTTCAACAACATCCTAACAATCGCAGAAATGCCAAACGCTTTAAATACCGTAATGCCCGACAAAAACTTGTATCTACTCATTTCGATATTCATCGGAATTATAAGTGGTGTGAAACAATTGTACAATCAATACCATGTGGTATTCGCCGCTAGAAACTATAAGAATTGGATAAAACTAATTTTGATAGTCCTTGAAATTACAAGTAATGTGGCACATTTGTACAATCTATACCATGGGGTATTGGCCGATGGAAACTATGAGGATTTTATTCAACTCATTTCGATAGTCATTGGAATAGTAAGTGGTATGGAACAATTGTACGATCAATACCATGTGGTATTGGCCGATGGAAACTATGAGGATTGGCTTCGAGTCATTTTGATTGTCATTGAACTTAAAAGTGGTGTGGAACAATTGTACGAACAGTGCCGTATAATATACCGTATAATATTATGTGCTATTGGCCGAATAACTAATATGTAGAGACAATATGTGGAGAGTATTGTCCATGTTTAACAAATGTGTGAATTTTTTTTCTCCCAAATGAGGAGTGGAAAGTGCGATGACAAAAATATACTAAATTCTGTTTAATTATAAACCAGCGAAGTGTACGGACTTTTTTTTTTTAAAGGTATACAAACTCAAGAGGAATCTTGTATTACATTTAATATAACCATAAACAAAAACTGAGTTTTTTTTAAAATATTTTTTGGTTACAGAATAACCTACTTACTTGGATCCTTGTTTAAAATTTTCAATATAATTAGCTATAGTGGTTGAACATTTTGTAAACTACAAAATCATTTTTCAACTAAATTAAATTTTAAATAAATAAAAATGTTGCACCTATCTTTTAAAATACTTAGGTACTTAATGAGTAAAAAAATATTAGTTATAATTTTATTACAAACTATGTTAAATAATTATTTATATGATAACTAAATAGTACTTAAATATATGACTTTACATTAGTTATGTATCTTGTAGTTGTGTCCTATTGGATACACAGGAATCATCTTTACATGGGGGTGGACGGTTCGATTCATCAAATGGTCAATTAAAATTTTGCATTTTTCTTCGGTTGTTATAACTCATTCCGCGGTCCTAACAGGACCGCTCGGCGGCAAAATGATTCATTACTAAATAAATTAACCAGCAAAAGAAAAAAGTGCATTTGGGTGTTCGATGAATCGCTGAAACTTGGACGCGGTTGACAGCCACACATTAATGTGTCCTACTGGACGATCGCGGATTTAGCAGTGTTGGCTACGGACGAAATAATTTCAATCTCTGCCTAATATGTACAATAACTCTGACCGAATCGCCAATTCAGTATCAGACGAAAAACCACCGAGCACAGACGTGACTTGATTAATAAAAAACTCGCCATCGAACGCAACACCGAACTATAAGTAAAAGTACCTCCTTAATATAGAATTATAGAAATATAATCACAAGCGACTGCAAAGTAGCCAAAAACATCGTCTTTATAGACCACACATTTTCACGACTATATATAGTACATCGTTGTGTAATAACACCGAAGTCCGAAATATAAACTAGCGAAGTGTACGGACTAAATGACTGCCGAGTAGCCAGAAACATCATCTTTATAGACCAAACATTTTAACTACTATGTATAGTACATCGCAATGTTATAACACTTTCAACTAAAACTAAAAGTACCTCCTTAATATAGAATCATAGAATTATAGAAATATAATCACAAGCGACTGCCGAGTAGCCAAAAACATCGTCTTTATAGACCACACATTTTCACGACTATATATAGTACATCGCAATGTTATAACACTTTAAACTAAAACTAAAAGTACCTCCTTAATATAGAATCATAGAATTATAGAAATATAATCACAAGCGACTGCCGAGTAGCCAAAAACATCGTCTTTATAGACCACACATTTTCACGACTATATGTAGTACATCGTTGTGTAATAACACCGAAGTCCGAAATATAAACTAGCGAAGTGTACGGACTAAATGACTGCCGAGTAGCCAGAAACATCGTCTTTATAGACCACACATTTTCACTACTATATATAGTACATCGCAATGTTATAACACTTTCAACTAAAACTAAAAGTACCTCCTTAATATAGAATCATAGAATTATAGAAATATAAACACAAGCGACTGCCGAGTAGCCAAAAACATCGTCTTTATAGACCACACATTTTCACGACTATATATAGTACATCGTAGTTTTATAACACTTTAAACTAAAACTAAAAGTACCTCCTTAATATAGAATCATAGAATTATAGAAATATAATCACAAGCGACTGCCAAGTAGCCAAAAACATCGTCTTTATAGACCACACATTTTCACGACTTTATATAGTACATCGTTGTGTAATAACACCGAAGTCCGAAATATAAACTAGCAAAGTGTACGGACTAAATGACTGCCGAGTAGCCAGAAACATCGTCTTTATAGACCACACATTTTCACTACTATATATAGTACATCGCAATGTTATAACACTTTCAACTAAAACTAAAAGTACCTCCTTAATATAGAATCATAGAATTATAGAAATATAATCACAAGCGACTGCCAAGTAGCCAAAAACATCGTCTTTATAGACCACACATTTTCACTACTATATATAGTACATCGTTGTGTAATAACACCGAAGTCCGAAATATAAACTAGCGAAGTGTACGGACTAAATGACTGCCGAGTAGCCAGAAACATCGTCTTTATAGACCACACATTTTCACTACTATATATAGTACATCGCAATGTTATAACACTTTCAACTAAAACTAAAAGTACCTCCTTTATATAGAATCATAGAATTATAGAAATATAATCACAAGCGACTGCCAAGTAGCCAAAAACATCGTCCTTATAGACCACACATTTTCACTACTATATATAGTACATCGTTGTGTAATAACACCGAAGTCCGAAATATAAACTAGCGAAGTGTACGGACTAAATGACTGCCGAGTAGCCAGAAACATCGTCTTTATAGACCACACATTTTCACTACTATATATAGTACATCGCAATGTTATAACACTTTCAACTAAAACTAAAAGTACCTCCTTAATATAGAATCATAGAATTATAGAAATATAATCACAAGCGACTGCCGAGTAGCCAAAAACATCGTCTTTATAGACCACACATTATCACGACTATATGTAGTACATCGTAGTGTTATAACACCGAAGTCTGAAATATAAACTAGCGAAGTGTACGGACTAAATGACTGCCGAGAAGCCAGAAACATCGTCTTTATAGACCACACATTTTCACGACTATATGTAGTACATCGTAGTGTTATAACACCGAAGTCTGAAATATAAACTAGCGAAGTGTACGGACTAAATGACTGCCGAGTAGCCAGAAACATCGTCTTTATAGACAACACATTTTCACTACTATATATAGTACATCGCAATGTTATAACACTTTCAACTAAAACTAAAAGTACCTCCTTAATATAGAATCATAGAATTATAGAAATATAATCACAAGCGACTGCCAAGTAGCCAAAAACATCGTCTTTATAGACCACACATTTTCACGACTATATGTAGTACATCGTAGTGTTATAACACCGAAGTCTGAAATATAAACTAGCGAAGTGTACGGACTAAATGACTGCCGAGTAGCCAGAAACATCGTCTTTATAGACCACACATTTTCACTACTATATATAGTACATCGCAATGTTATAACACTTTCAACTAAAACTAAAAGTACCTCCTTAATATAGAATCATAGAATTATAGAAATATAATCACAAGCGACTGCCGAGTAGCCAAAAACATCGTCTTTATAGACCACACATTTTCACGACTATATGTAGTACATCGTAGTGTTATAACACCGAAGTCTGAAATATAAACTAGCAAAGTGTACGGACTAAATGACTGCCGAGTAGCCAGAAACATCGTCTTTATAGACCACACATTTTCACGACTATATGTAGTACATCGTAGTGTTATAACACCGAAGTCTGAAATATAAACTAGCGAAGTGTACGGACTAAATGACTGCCGAGTAGCCAGAAACATCGTCTTTATAGACCACACATTTTCACTACTATATATAGTACATCGCAATGTTATAACACTTTCAACTAAAACTAAAAGTACCTCCTTAATGTAGAATCATAGAATTATAGAAATATAATCACAAGCGACTGCCGAGTAGCCAAAAACATCGTCTTTATAGACCACACATTTTCACTACTATATATAGTACATCGTTGTGTAATAACACCGAAGTCCGAAATATAAACTAGCGAAGTGTACAGACTAAATGACTGCCGAGTAGCCAGAAACATCGTCTTTATAGACCACACATTTTCACTACTATATATAGTACATCGCAATGTTATAACACTTTCAACTAAAACTAAAAGTACCTCCTTAATATAGAATCATAGAATTATAGAAATATAATCACAAGCGACTGCCGAGTAGCCAAAAACATCGTCTTTATAGACCACACATTTTCACGACTATATGTAGTACATCGTCAGTGTTATAACACTTCAACTAACCTAAAGTCCTCTGAAATATATAATCATAGGAAGTGTATAGGACTATACATCGACTGCCAAGTAGCCAAAAACATCGTCTTTGTAGACCACACATTTTCACGACTATATGTAGTACATCGTAGTGTTATAACACCGAAGTCTGAAATATAAACTAGCGAAGTGTACGGACTAAATGACTGCCGAGTAGCCAGAAACATCGTCTTTATAGACCACACATTTTCACTACTATATATAGTACATCGCAATGTTATAACACTTTCAACTAAAACTAAAAGTACCTCCTTAATATAGAATCATAGAATTATAGAAATATAATCACAAGCGACTGCCAAGTAGCCAAAAACATCGTCTTTATAGACCACACATTTTCACGACTATATATAGTACATCGTTGTGTAATAACACCGAAGTCCGAAATATAAACTAGCGAAGTGTACGGACTAAATGACTGCCGAGTAGCCAGAAACATCGTCTTTATAGACCACACATTTTCACTACTATATATAGTACATCGCAATGTTATAACACTTTCAAGTAAAACTAAAAGTACCTCCTTAATATAGAATCATAGAATTATAGAAATTTAATCACAAGCGACTGCCAAGTAGCCAAAAACATCGTCTTTATAGACCACACATTTTCACGACTATATATAGTACATCGTTGTGTAATAACACCGATGTCCGAAATATAAACTAGCGAAGTGTACGGACTAAATGACTGCCGAGTAGCCAGAAACATCGTCTTTATAGACCACACATTTTCACTACTATATATAGTACATCGCAATGTTATAACACTTTCAACTAAAACTAAAAGTACCTCCTTAATATAGAATCATAGAATTATAGAAATATAATCACAAGCGACTGCCAAGTAGCCAAAAGCATCGTCTTTATAGACCACACATTTTCACGACTATATATAGTACATCGTTAG